AGCAGCTAAATTCCTGAAGGGATGTAAAAAGTTTGATCATGTTACTCCCCTCTCGAGATCATAGCATTGGCTACCAGTTCACTATCAAATTAAGTTTAAAATCTTGCTACTTGTCTACAAATCACTAAATAACCTAGCTCCTCCTTATTTGTCCGATTTACTCCACCCTTACATTCCAGTGAGGGGATTAAGATCGGAGGGCAAATTTCTCCTCTGGATCCCAAGAACCTGCTTAAAGACCAGGGGATCTAGAGCCTTTGAAGTGGCTGGTCCCACTCTGTGGAACAACTTACCAGTTCACATTAGAACGGCTTCCACCTTATCTGAGTCATATCTTAAAACCCATCTCTTCTCTTTGGCTTTTAATATGTAGCTATGTTTGCTTTGTATGATTTTATTCTTGTCTACGTTTTTTTCTCTTTTTGTTGTATTTTATTATTTGTTGTGCAGCACTTAGGTTGGCCTTGTTCCATGCTTAAACATGCACTAGAAATAAAACTGAACTTGGTTAGAGGATAGAAAATATCGTTTGGTCAGTATAAAAGTAATAGAAGTTTATGGAAAGTCCCCACAATTCACAGAAACAAACGTGTGTGTCAAGTCAAGTCAAGTGTGTGCGTGTGTGTGTGTGTGTGTGTGTGTGCGTGCGCGTGAGTGAAGGATGGATGGAGCTGAAGCTGAAGCTCTGAGGATATTGGTGTGTGTTTTATGTTAATGTCTCTGGCGTGTGTTTGACGGTAGAGTCGTCCTTGACCGCGGCCGTGTTTTCACACGCAGCCCTTCAACAGTCATTTGATATGAATTTATGGCGCGGCCTCATCTGAATCCTCGCATGTTCTCTGCTTTCCGGCGCTAATGGCCTTCAATATTTCTTCAGCTCTTTCTGTGTCTCTCTCGCTCAATTGAATTCATGTTCCTGTAGTTTTTACCTCACGGCTTTATGTGATTGATTGCTTTAATCCCGCCTGTCCGGACGGAGAGCTGTCAATCACGATTAGAGGCTCCGCCCTCAGGCCGGGCAACACGCCTTCTGTTTGACGTTTAATGCTCTCAAATAAATGATGCTCCTCTTGTTGTTGTCATTTTCCAGTACAAAAATCTAAACATTAAACAGTACAGCATTGATTCAGAAGTTAGATTATAGAGCTATAAAACAAAACATTTTCATTTTTATAATTTTCTACATTTTTGTAATGTTTCATATCATATTTTGAACTCTTCCTACTTATTTTATGATTTTTTTTGTTTTATACTATAACTTTTTTAATTGTTATAATATTTATAATTATATATTAAAATGTTTTGCAGTATATTTTAAAGGGGTCATTTGATGCGATTTCAATTTTTCCTTTCTCTTTGGAGTGTTACAAGCTCTTGGTGCATAAAGAAGATCTGTAAAGTTGCAAAGACTAAAGTCTCAAATCCAAAGAGATATTCTTTATAAAATTTAAGAGTCAACCACGCCTACCTAAAATGGCTCGTTCTAACACACCCCCACATATCGACGTCATGATGTGGGAAGATTTGCATAACACTGCCCAAATGTTCACGCAAAGAAAGAAGGTGTAACTTTTATGCTCGCTGTAGTATTGTTGCCGCTGCCGCCATGCCGTAGAGACACTGTGTGCTTCGTTGTGAAAGCGAAACTACTTTGTTTGGTCTTCCAAAAGAGGACGATATCCGCTTCGTCA